ATACTTTCTAGCTTAATTTTACTTATATGGAATTTTATCGTTTTTTTTATTCATTATAGTTCAATCTGAATTGTAGAATCAAGATTTAATGTAAGATTTTATAAATGATGCAGATTCTTTTAAATAAAGGACAGAATCAAAATCTGCTCAGAAGCTCAAGATCGAACGTCCTTTAGAAAAACTTTGTAGTATATTTTAGGATAAAAATGTATATAGGATAATAAAATCTAATTTGGTGGGGGTATAAAACATAGGTAATCAGAGATTACAGAGCTTACCCCAAGGAATGTCGTTTTTAATTAAGGCTAAGTTACACAATAAACCAACATTTTAAAACGTGTACATCCAAAATTTATGTAATTTTGATCTGATAGGGCTTTTAGTTAATTTGGAATAGACCTATCTAAAAACTTCAAAGCAGTCGCCCATCAAGAAAATTAAATTCAAATCTAGCATCTGAAGCTCGTTTGAGAGCTTTCATACTTTGATGCATTATTTTCGCAAGTTTGGTTGATATAGGCCTTATAGTTTGTTGGTGATAGACCTGTGTCAATCTTTTACCTGCATGGTCCATTATCTCGTAAATATATGTCAGCACCCAAAGCTAATCAATTTGTATACATTCTTATATGCATCATCCATGCAAGTTTGCTCAGCATATGACTCATAGTTACTTGGAAATGAAACCTGCTTAAAGTATTATCTTTTCACTCAACTAGAAAATTTAGGTGAGTATCAGGATCCGAAGCAGGCCTGGTAGTATGCATCCTTCTGTGTATCATCCATGCAAGTTTGGTCATTAGAGAGCGCATAAATACTAAAAAATGAACCCGCACCAAAAACATTAAGCTGTTCACTCATCTGGAAAATGTAGGTCAGATTCAGCATCCGCAGCAAGCCTAGTAGTATGCATCCTTCTATTTATCATCCATGTAAGTTTGGTCAAGATAGGACTTATAGTTTCTTGGAAATGAGACCTACACCAAAAAAATCCACCAAAAATGTTAACCTTTTCCAAAATCATTAACCTGCTCATTCCTTTGCTAAAATTGCAGCATCTGAAACCTTGACGGGTGCAATAAAACATACTAGAAGAATCTTCCATCCATGTTAAATCAATATAGGGCATAAAGTACAAGTATTTTAAAAGAAACTAAAAAACTTAACCTTAACATTAGACGCCGACACCGACAACGACGCTAACGCCGATGGTAATATATATGCTCCCCAAACTTTGATGAGGTCAGCTCAAAGTTGATTAATTTGTATTCTTGTCAATTTCACAAGATTACAGAACGTTTATCACAAGATTATAGAACACATATCACAAGATTTTGAATATACATCTCAAGATTATCGGAGAAAGCTAAGTTTAAACGCCATAAAATATGTGTGGATAATTGGCTTCTTTAATCAAGATCAGGCAATGATTTTCACCAATATATTAACCTACAAGACAATCCAAATGATGCCATACATGTATTAATAAACTAAATATAAGAGAATTGCTTTTCACAATCGTTGTTATATTTGCATAATTTGTACATCTTGTTTTAAATAGTATTTATTATTATTAAATTATGTTTGTGAGATATGCAGCATTGTTAAGTCTGAAATAAGGAGGCGTGGCATACTTTATACGGGAATTGTCACAAATTTTTTTTTCTTCTCATTTCTCAGAAAATGAAATAATTTGCAATTTTAAGTTGTATTAGCAGAATAAACAACAACAAAACTTGTTAATGCATTAAAAATAGTTGATTCAATCCCAGGATATTAATAAATCACTGATCGCAACGAATTCATTTTGGTAAAATGTTGAATGTGCAGAAAGAGGCACAGTATTTTTTTGCATAGAGAAATGCGTATTATTAATAAACTGAATGTTACTAACAGATTTTAAATAGTCTATTAATACCAATGTAAAACCTTTGTATGGCGTGATTGTTCAATACTTATCGAGAAAATCAATTAAATTAATTTTCCCGTGCTTTTTTGGACATAGTTGGCATAAATTTAACATCGACGTAGGCAATCAATTCACCTTTTTGCAAGAGCTTACACAATTTTCTAACTATATAATTTTACAGTTATTCGCTTTTTGAAACAACCAAAGAGAGAAAAAGAGAAACGTTCGAGGGAGGAGAAACGCAGATTTGTTTAGGCTGAAATAAGGAGGCGGGGCCTAATTTATACGGGAAATGTTTACTGTGACGTCACACTAAAATATGACTTTTATGTACTCCACATAATACCTGAAAGTGAAATAATTTGCAACTTTAAACTGCATTAGCATAATAAACAACAATAAACCTTATCAATGCATTTAAAAAAGTTGCTAGTTAAATCCCATACAGCTGGTTATAAACAGATCACTGATCTCGATAAACTTGTCAATCATGACGTCATTTTGGTAAAAATGATGTACTTCAAGTGCTGTGAGAGGCAGATTGAGGAATCTTTTAACACTGAAAAATGCGTTTTATTATAAAACAGAATGTTATTTACAGGTTTTAAATAGCTATTAATACCAATGTATACCCCTTTGTTCAGTGTGATTATTCATTAACTATCGAGAGATTGATCTAAATAATTTTGTCGTGTTTTTATTTTCAGGTTAGGTATATTTTAAATCGAGGTGCCTTTTTAAATCGTTCTTTCGCAAGGGCATACACTAAATAAATCTTAACCAATTTTTGAGTATAAATAAAGAATATGTTCCTTAACTTGAGAAGTGCTGCTGCTTTCTTTAAATCGAGAAGTTGACTTTAAATTACATAAAATATTTTTTAAAAGTCAAACATATTTCGACATGCGCCTATTTACTTGAAATTTTAACTATTAAAACACGGATTCTATTCAAAGCAGCAGCACTTTCCAGAAACTGCAAAGTATACAGAAACAATTAAAAGCTTGAATTTTTAATTTCAAATAGGGTATGCCCTTGCGTGATTGAAATTTGTTAAAGACCTACATTCAGTACACGTACTATACATTTTACACGTGACTGTCCATCGATGGGACCAAACTTCATACAGTGCAGAAAAGGTAACACTTTGCTTTTTCCATAAGTATTTAAGTTCTGTGTTAATAAAACAGCGGAATAAAAATAAATTCAGTTTTAAAAACAATACCCGTTTTTGCACTTCTATTTTCCGTTGATTTCTCATAGTAAGCCTTAACAGTGCTGCAAAGAGAGGAAGCGATATAATCTGTTTATTTAGTATAAAAAATGAAATCATTTATTTGCAGGTTTAGTTTCACTTTCACACACCTCTTTCACACATCGCAGTCACGTATAAATGCAGTTGCTACCGAATATTTCCATTTCCAATTGTTTTCTCTTTGATAAACACTACAAAAGTCGATCTTGTTAATTTCTCCGTGAGACCTGTGGCATGTGAATTTCTCTATAAAAATATTACTGAAAGGTCAAATGTCAACCTTGCATGTTAGGGGTGTTCCATATATTTTTCAAAAGCAGTGCTTAACTACAGAGATATGGAGATAACGAACAGTACTCAATATCAAAGTCCACAAAACAATACAAAATAACAGCAGAGCAAAAAAGGACCTCGGAAACATCAGACGTGGGACCAGGTGCCATGGAGGAGTGATCATCCCCTGCTGACCGGTCACAACCGCCGTGTGATCATTGATATGATCAGGAAGTAATGGGAAAATCCGTCGTCAGTTCAGTGTATAAATAATGGACTAACAATAGGTATGAAAACGTCAGTCAGCATTTAACTCAATGATAAATTGTATTTGCTGAAAAGGTCATTGTATCTTACGTAATGATTTTAAACGAGACAGCTGATATTCTTGTTTCATCGACTTGTTTTTCAATAATTTACCTCGTTTTAGAAATTGTTCATACATAGAACATACTCTTGCGTATCGAATCAGCTGAGATATATTTCCATTTCTAATTTTTTCTCTGTGTGATAACCCTTTGAAAGTTAGCGGAGTTAATTTCTTGATGATTCTACCGGAATGTAAATTAGGCATGTCAATAGGTCAGAATTAAGGAGGCCTAATAAGCATGCAGATCTCGTGCGCAAATGTCTCTGAGTCTGACGCCAAGGAAACCAAATATGCATGAAAATCTCGTGCGGCTGCCTTTGTGTTTGACCTCAGTGGGCGAGGAGTATTGAAACTGGGATGGGAATCCTCGTGTCATTTAAATCTATATCATTTACCATTAACGTTTTTTTTTCAAGTAAAATATCCAAGTATGAATCAGATGTGTCAGACTCTGTGGTATCTTTTATCTTAAGCTCACCAGAATATAACATAGGAATAGAAATCACCATTGTAAATTGACAATACGTTGTCGATATATCTAAATGTCGAGTTGAAGGCCACATTAAGTGTTCTCTTCGAGAGGAATGTTCAAGTACATATTTAAAGCACCTGCATGATAGAAATGCAGGTCATTTTGATTGACAGTAAAGGATAGTTTTACTTATTTCTTCATATCTTATCTTGTATCAGACAAGATGATGAGCGTAGATAAATGAACGATAAATCACTTTTCAAAAGAATATGTTTGTCATTTTGAAAAATTTCGACTTGATAATTTTTGCACAGTATTTGAAAGGATGTTTTGATCTGTTTGCTTAATACTTGTCACAAATATGCGTCATTCATAAATTGTCTGCACAGACATTATCTGTTTTAATACCTGCCATCCACCTATTGATTTAACAAAAGACAGTAAAAAAACCTTATTAGTAACAAGAATGGCATTGCAAAATAGTTCTGCACTCCATCATCTGATACAGACATCGTCCCTCAGTCATTACGATCCGATTTCTTAAGTGATTCAACTTCTTCTATTATTTCAACATCCACACAATTCTGTTTCCTGACCATGCTGACCAACTTCCGTTTCAACTACAACAATATGGCGGCAGAGAAGTGACCTAGGGCCTATACACGTGTTCTTGCATCCGACAACCTAAATCTACGTCTCATTTATAATTAAAGTTAACAGGATTGCTTTGATCATAATATAAAATCCTTTTGTTGTATGCTCTTGCAATATAGAATTTTTTTGCCCTAAGCACATGAAATGAAATATTGTTTGTTCCGAATCCAGTATAAGATTTTTAATATCCTGTAAAGAATCTGTGACAACAATATGGAGGCAGTATCACCTACGTGTATACAGTATTAATGATCTAGTCGAGAAAAATCCATCAAAAATCAAAAGTGTAATGTCTATGTAAAAACTATACAGTTAACTAAACTTGAAATTTTATCATTGTTGTACAAGGACAAGTCCAGTCGTATAAATAGTCACTTACTTATCTGTATGAGGAGAACACTTCATGCGTCCGGAAATATGAGGAATAATTTCTGTAACAAGGTCTTTTTAAAAGTATATATTTTTATGATTTATCTTGTGGAAAGGTATACATTTCAGCACCAAATGTCTGGAGTATAGGTACAATTGGGGTTACAACAGTGGAAAAGTTAGTGTTTCCAACTATCATTCCAATGCAGTAAAGTCGATGTTTGTCTTCTTTTGTTGATGAGGAGTCAAGTTGATAAACGAATGCTCCTGAATCCCCAGCATCGGCAAAATCTTTATCAGATCCCTTGATTTCAAGTTGGGAATAGTATTTGATTTCTAGCGGGGTTGAAGAATGGCTTACATCCATTTCATCACTGTAACACCTGACAGATATTTCATTAAAACGCAGATAACCTTTTGTAAATCCAGATTTCGCTCCCAATTTGAAACATGGGTCTTTCAGGTGGTTACCATGATCCTGCATCTGATCATAATCTCGTACATTATCACCTTCACTGTACTCGGGAAGATTTTCCTTGCTTAAACCTGAATAAAAAGACATGATATAATAATTGTATTTATATGATTTTCGAGAGGTTTATAGTGTAAAATATGCAAAGAAATGAACAAAAATAATTTCCCGGCATCTTTGGGGCGTTCAGTTAAAATGTGGTAAATTACACTGTTAAATAAAACAAAGTGTAATAGTGAATTCAAAATTATTTATTTTGTATATCGTGCTATTATTAGCAATTAATCATTTTTATGCGCCCGGATTGATAGATCTGGGGCGTATATCGTTTTTGTCCTGTCTGTCTGTTTGTTTATTTGTCTGTTTGTCTGCAAACTTTAACCTTCGCCATAACTGTTGAATCAGTATAGGTAACATCACAGATGCCGAGTAGTATTGATTATATCGTTTTCATGGGGCGTGGAAACCGAGGGCGCAGAGCGAGTTGAGAGTTGTAAGCAACTTGTCGCATGTCTGATGACGTAAATTTCATTGAGAGTGTCAAAATTCAATAAAACAATTTTGACCTGATTTCTGGCTACTGCAGTGATATATGGTGGGGCTTGGAAAGTATTATCGCATATGTGATATGGGATATATCACCACCGAAAGATCAAAGACAATCACCGCAGATATGCGACAATGAAAGATAGAGACTTCATATTTGATATGCATACTTCACTAACTTAATTCTTTCAAATAGCACCAAGGTCAATGGCCTTGTGACCTTGACTGTGACATGTATGCTAAAAAAAGTTTTTTATCTGCAAACTTTAACCTTCGCAATACTTTTGAACCATGACAGTTAGAGACTTCATATTTGGTATGCGTATTTCACTAATTTAGCCGTTTCAAATGACATCAAGGTCAATGACCTTTTGACCTTGTCTGTGACCTGTATGCTAAAAATAGTTTTTTAGTACCTTAACTTTCGAACCATAGAAGATAGAGACTGCATATTTAGTATGCATACTCCACTAATTAATCTCTTTCAAATGACACAAAGGTCAATGACCTTGTGATTTTGACTGTCACCTTTATGCTAAAAGTTTTTTTCGTACCTTTACCATAAGTTATGAAGCACAAGAGATATAGACTTCATATTTGGTGTCCATACTTTACTAATAATTTCTTTTAAATGACACCAAGGTGAATGACCTTGATTGTGACATACATGCTAAAAATAGCTTTTTTAGAATTCTGTTGCCATTCTGCGCATAGTGTTTCACAAAACGTCTTGTTTTTTTAAGAAATTAACTACTTTCAAAAATATACCATCAATTATACGTGGGTTTCTTTTTTTTTGGGGGGGGGGGGATTTGAAAGACGTTTCTTTGGCTCTTTATTTTAACAATATAAACTCCCCTTTATCCAAGGACGCTTTGTACTATGTTTGTTTAAAATTGCCCTAGTACGAGGGGTGATCAAAAAGTTCAAGAACTAATTGAATAACTTACATAATAGAAATAATATTTGGTTTCAGTGTTGATTATATTTTAAATTAATCCTCTCCGATTTTAATGCACAGCAACCACCGTTTTGCGCATGCGCGAATCACGTGATACAGGCGGTCACGTGACCCCCTCCGTAGCGTTCTGTCACAAAAGCTGAACGATTTTTCTGAGTTCTATATTTCTCTCCATGTAAGCTAATTTTTATAACAAGAACAGTTTATAATGGTCAAATCTCGGCAACAGAATGGGTGGATAAGAATACCCTTTACAAAAATAAGCATGGCGACCATCAAAACCAAACTCTTCTGTCTCGGGAGAAACGTTTATTCAAGGTGGATAGAGAATGGATGCCTTCTTCCTATCATATCTATTATGTTTTAAATCTAAAGTAAACGATATTTTTAATAATTATATTATTGTGAAAATATTCAACTATTTTTCAAATTGTTAATTGGACGTCTTTGATAGCAAATTGCTTAATTAAAAACACACCTCCTTTTAAACTTGCTTTCACTGGGCAACATAACAAGTATCATTTTTAACCATCTACCTTTCTTCACTAAAACGATTAATTCAATCATTGATTGCCTTTATAGGAAGTCATTTGTCTTAATAAACTGTGTACAAATTATTATACGTTTCTTTCAAGGGATTTTTAATAAATATACAATAAATTTTACAGTCGTTTTTAAACGAGTACAACTTAGACAGCCAGTTTTCGTCACAATTGACCTACATAGTGATATCATTTTCACATTGTGAAGTCACAAACAAGGAGCAAAACTTTATTTAGCATATGCTATTTATAGAACTTGTGCATGGCTATGTGTGTTTTCTAATTTGAATTGTGGCTTTGTAGATATAGAGATAGTTCGCGAACTTTTTGATCACCCCTAGTACTTCAAACTGAAAATGTGAAAAGTTAACGGAGAGACGAACGGACGACGGATAACGGGTGATCAGAAAATCTCACTTAAGCTTTCTGCTCAGATGAGCTAAAACTTTGCTTTTATTGAAAACCAGTGCACTAAAAATCAAAATACCATTTCCGAGAAGACAAAAGTCTTCAGCAGTAAGATTTGAAAAAAGGCCTTTTTCAGGTTTTCGACTTTTAAGAATAACAAGAGAAGCATCCATGGTGCAGTCAGGAAATGGTGTCGTGGGAAAACAAGAATATGTATGAACACCGCAAATGTTGTTGCTATAAGCAGGCTGTACGATGTCAAACATCTCTGTTTCATAGCACTTCTTCGATAGGTTGAAGAGGACATGTGCACATGTAATAAATCCTATATCTCCATTGCTTGATTTTACAAATCCTCCAAGGGTACCCATAATTGACGAATCTGAAAAAAAACTTTACATATAAATATTTATACATAAGAAAGTACCCTTTCCCTTTAAATGTTAGTGTGCCAACGAAAGAATTGATGTGGTTGAAATAAACACATTGTCATGTAACTTAATACTTAGCATAGACGTTTCTATGCAAGTGAACTAAAATAATGCATATGGGCTACAAGCACTGATCCAGATTTTTTTTTTCAGGGGGATGGGGATCCACCCCCAGTGAAAATAATCTGACCTAGAAATTTGTTGAGAAGCCAAAAAAAAGATATCTCTCATAAAAGTGTAAATCCTTTTTTATAGGAGGTGTATGGCAGGGTTACAGGGTCGCTAACTTCCAAATCTTCTTGATAACTTTGACTTATCATACCAAATTAACATAATTCCATGTCTTTGAGGTTGGGGTGGGTGGGTTCCAAGTTCTACTTGTTTAGTATATAAAATACATAGCTCTGCAAATTCCCCATTCTAGATCTGTGCATGGGCTATACTTATCACTCGGATAAATTAAAACGTTTATTAATACAGACTTAGTACCTATGACATACAATAGGCTGTAGTTATTTTGACGTAATATTATGACGTCATAGTCCTCTTCTACACAAGTTTAATTAGAAGCTTCGGTGCATACCTTACTTTGTTCCACAAATATAATTATACATTTGCAATATCTCTTTATAGCAAATGGAAAATATCTGCATTTCCGTACGAAGTTTTTTTTACAAGTCATAGGTCATAATGTGACCTAATTGATCTTACGGTGCAATAACATCGACATAAAATTGTTTACTTTAATAAGCAATTAACATACACTTCATGTAAAAAAAGATTATATATACAAAATACTCAAGAAACATAGCAATAGTTTTATTTACAATGTAAACAAATATTAATTACAGTTATTGGCAATCAATTTAGCCGTGAACGCTTAAACTGTGTGTATAAGTTTCATGTCAACAGCTCTCTCTCTCTTCGTTTACTGGACGTTAAGCCTTATTTCTCTTATAGAACTGTTTTTGTTAAATCCTCACCATAAACTCTGCATGCTATCCAATAAATTTTCTTCCATCAAGCTTTACTCAAGAATAATTTGTAAATCGTTTGGAAAATATCGTAAGAATTGGTTCTGGACTCAAAAACTTTTTCATTTTTCCCAGATTTGTACCAAAATATATTTTTTACTGGACCGAGGTTAACTTATCTCAAATAAAACAACTTGTTAACGATGTTTTATAAGATTAAACATGCAATGATACTAAAAAAAATCAGTAATAACTGATTCAGGTGGAAAAGGTGTCACCCTAGTCAATGAGTATATACACTGCTGAAAATTTAAAGATATTTCATGATTTAAATAGCCAGAAGAAAAAAAAGAAATAAAAAAGACCAATAGATACTTTTTATTCTTGACTAACAATTGACCACAGATAGCCAAAGTATATTTCTCGAGAAGCCGGTATTAAACTGAATATATTTAATTCTATAAAGAGCCAAAAAAATCCACTACAATTTAATGCAATGCATCACGCCACAAGTAGCTGGCAAATACTTCGGCGTTGTAGTAACAATGTACAAGTAAGAAGTCGCCAACGTCTCTGTGTCTACATCATAAAGAAATATGTCATGCCGAAATCGTAGATTTAATGTTTTGATCAAATTTTATACTTGATTTCAAGTTATTTGTCTCGGACATGTGTCTCAATCTATTCCTTTCGACCGGAACTCCTCTGACTTTTTTTATCATCAAAATTTGGACATGTTTCTTGTCCCTTTGCAGCATCGAATATCGATTCACACAACTACAAATGCTTCCCAGAGAGCAATCAATTCATTTTAACTGATCACAAATTAAATAGCCTTTTACAAAAACAATACCTTCAAAATAGAATCATTTTTTATTGAATTCGAAGCGTAACCGTACAATGGCCGATATCAACATGTCTAAAATGAATTAAACAACCTGTAATTTTGTCTTCTGTATATGAACATTTCTTATTTGTACACGTACAAACTATAAGTATTTATAAAAGATTTTTTCACCATAATTATACTTGCAAATACAATTCTTTTATCTAAAATTATAATTAGCATACTTCTACTTGACGTTCGATAAATTTTACATGATAAATAAAAGATAAGTGTATACCATAAGCATTAACCCTTAGCAACGCAATTCTTAATTTAGAGGACCAGACACAGTGCTGCAATTTTCTTATTTCTTTTTTATATTGACATCGTTCTTAATACGTTATTGCTTATTGATAGTATTATTATAACAGCAAAGTGTTTCGTCATTGACATCAAATTGGTGTTCCAAAAATTTAAATCACGGCCCCAACTCCATCAGGGATCCAGCCGTTATTTCCAATGTGGCAAGATAGCATTTGTAAGCAAATTACCAATACTTTAATATTTAGTTGGTTTTGTTTGAACGATAGACATTAATAAGCGAGGCATTAAAAAGACGACTTTGATAGAATGAATTTAATGTATCAAATGTATGTTAAAATCTTGTTTCAAGTATTTAAAGACATTATGGAAATTATTTTTCCTTCTGTGTTAAAATTATTTTCAGACGAAAAAAAAAGATAACACTACACGCAAAAACCATTTTTGACTGAATAAAGGTTGAAAAAAGAATCAGATTTTACGATCAATGTGTATTGGTCCCGTTTGACAAACTAGGTAAACCATTGTTTTTTTAGCAAGGCGCATTATTTCATAGTACAATGTATTTATGAGAAAATGGATTGAATTCTACAAATTGTAACTCAAGATATACCAAGACCTCCATGTGTACATCAATACAAATCATAACAAACAGACACATAGCAGTTTCTAGTCAACTTTCTACCAATGCTCTGTCTTTGCAGGCAGGCAATGTTGTTTCCATGTTGAAAATATTTGAAGTAAGAGTTCCAACGTTAAATAACTATAGTTAAATGTTGTTTCAACTCTGAGAATTCAACATTGAAACATCAACGTTTTACAAGGTTGAAGCAGAAACATAATTTCAACGTTGAACTGCAACATAATTTCAACGTTGAAGCTGCAAAATAATTTAAACGTTGAATGCTCTTTGATATTTGTACGGTGGAGCAACCTTAAACATTCAACATATTTTCCACGTTGAATGCTCGCTGATATTTTAAAGTTGAAACTCCGACGATTTGAGAATAATTTTAATTAATTTATGATGCATATCATTTGAGATTTGAGAATAATTTAAATCAAATTATTAAAATAATTTACGATGCATATCATTTGTCGTTAATATTCAATTTTTTTTTACAATGTATAATAAATTGCAAATAATTACATTGATTAAACGTTGAAAATCCATGATGTATTGGCGTTGAAAATAAGGTGCTTATTACATGTACGTACATGTTGATTAAACGTTACTTTTTCTCACTATTTCAGCATTAAACATATTTTTCTATTTTTAATGTTGCTTGAACGCTAAAAATGAGGCATTTAGACGTTTAATAATATCGATATTTTCAAATCTCTTCATTTTGCATCTATATTACAAAACAGAAACACCAACTTTATCGAACAGATCTAGTTGACTGTTCAAAGAAAGAATATATAAGCGATTTTTTTTCTTAAAATGTCATTCATGGCCTTTTGTGCTTGATTAATAGGTGTTTCTTGACCTTTGAAAATGACCCTGATATTGAGAATAAAATACCCAAGTAATTTAAATCTTTTACAATTTCTAAAACATCGTCATTGTATTTAATTGTATGTTTGGGTGATGGTCCTTTTGAAAACAATGACAATTTCTGATTTCTTAACATTAACATGGAGTTTCCATGTTTTGCAATATACAGAAAATTCATTTAATGCATGTTGTAAATCATATGTTGTTTTACAATGCCTATAAGCCATTCGTCCGGTACCATCATAGAGTCAAAGATGAGACAAGAGCAATGAATATGGTGGTACTAATATGTTCATTGAGGAAATGATCGCTTCCGGGAGATTCGTTGTTTTTATTAGATCGTTTACCGACAACAAAATTTCATTCTGCATAATTGGACAATTAAGTGTTTCATCATATTTCATGATTTTTATTGAATCTGTTTCCTCCAAATCGACTTCAATAATATTTTTGAGAACGTTATACTGATTGTTTAAATCAGCTGTACGTGTGTTATTTTTATTTTGGATATTTTATATTTTCTAGTTTTCCTTTCTGTTGTTTGTTTGCAATTTTTTATATTATTTTCTGTGATTGATTTTGTCTATAGTCATTCATTATTGAATTCAAAACTTTTTTATACTCTTTGCTAGCTAGTTTAAATTTTACGTATAGCTAAGTTTTTTTTTCTCGCCGTTCTAGTACAATGACGATTAAACCAAGATTTTTACGGTATTTTTCTTTGCATTTTGAATTTTATGTTTGATATCAAACGATTGGGGAAACATTCATAATTTTTAAAACAGCACTGAGGTTACACCAAACCTGTAAATGAGCCTATGAGCCACAAAGATCACCTAAGTCAACATGACCTTGTGTTCTTCATCATTAGATATTCCTATGTTTAAAATAAAATGAAACCCCATTGTGGATCCCACCCTATACCCCGGAAGTCATGATTTTAAAACTTGAATCTAAACTACAATAGAATACGTCCATTTTAAAGTCTAATTATGGCTTTGCTGTTCCAGAAAAGATTTTTTAAAGGTCTTTTCCATATTTATTCCTATGTAATATAAAACTTAATTTTCGCTCCACATTATCCCAGGGGTCATAATATGAATATACTAAAATACACAACCTGAGGATGCTTCCAAATGAAAATGACCTTTCGTGGCTCTTTTGTTTTTCTTAGGAATAATTTTAAGATCTTTTAGCTTATATTTAAATTCTATAAATAAAAAAACAATGATCCTGAGCTGTATCCCCAAACTACCTGCGGGAATCATGACTTCAATAGTCTTGAAACTACACTACCTGAGAATACTTATTTATCATTATGATAGTGTATGG